TAATTATTCCTAATTATCATCATAACGGTTAACAGCTTTCATTATTTATCACTGTTCTCAAAATTACCTCCCTTATTATCATTAAGAGGTTATTACGCTGTCACTATAACTTTGATAATTCGGTCGTTATTAAAGCAGAAATTTCAAACTGATTCCGTCCTTTCTCTTTCTAATCTTCTCTTCCTGGTTATTCCCTTTTTTCTCTCTTTCTTATACTTTTTTTTTGTTATTTCCTCTCCATTTTTTTTTCTTCATTTACCTCTGGGAAGTTATGTTTTTGTTTTGTTTTTGTTTTGTTTGTTTGGTGATTTGTCAACAGGATTGTCGTTGATTTTTTTTTTTTTTGGCTTGGAGTAAATTTTGGTGATGATACATAATAGTTTACCCATCAAGAATAGATTGTAAAGAAAACGGGTCTTTTTGGATATGATTTTTCTCTTTAAAGAATGTGTTGATTTCTTTTTCTTTTCTTCTCCTTTTTTCTTTCTTTTTTTTAGGTGTTTGCTCTTAATTCGTCTTCGTTTATTCCTTTTTTCTCTTTTTTTGAGGTATTTGCTCTTAATTCTTCTTCGTTTATTCTCTTTCATTAAACCTCTTTCTCTTTCCAGGACTTACATAACCCTCCGTTTTTTGTTTTCATTAATTTGTTGACGCAGACCATTACTCACTTAATTAAACCAAGGAATTGTAACGATATTGCACAATACCGATAACACTCAACAGAAATTACAGACATTTATCAAAGCAAATGAACCCTATATTTCTTTTATAACTTTATATCCTCATTATGCAACATAATTCTATTTCTAGAGCATAACTGTTGTTCTTAAAACTGTTCACCTTTTTAGATCATTAAAGGCCACCATCGTTGCATTAACTATGTTTCCTTTATAGCACTGGCAATTATCTGATAATGAAACAAAAAAATAGATCTAATACATCGACATTATCAACATTATTGATAGTTGGAATATCATGTTTTTTGCCAACACGAAAACATATGTTTGTGAACGAGTGTAGCAGTTTCAAAGACTTTCACTTCAAATATTTGTAAACTTCTAAAATATAAATGTTTCATCCACATACATGCATATACAACTACATACATACACATATATTTTATATATATATATGCATATATATATATATATATATATATATATATATACATATATATATATATATATATATATATATATATATATATATATATATATATATATATATATACATATACATATATATATATATATATATTATATATATATATATATATATATATATATATATGTAATTATAATAATTTTTACTATTATCATCATTATTATTGCTAAAATTACCACCATGTCCTATGTTTATTATTAGCATAATTATCATTAATGCTGTAATCATTATTACTATTATTATCATTACTAGCATTCTTATTGTTGTTGTTCTTTTTGTTGTTATTTTATTATTATCAATAATACCATCATCGTTATTATTATCACTATTATTATTATCAATGTTGTCATCATCATAATTATTATTATCATTATGAATGCTAGCGTTGTTATTATTAATGTTATCATTATTATCATTATTATTATTATCATTACTATTATTATCATTATTATCATCATTAATATTGTCATTATTATTATAATTATTATCATGATCATTATTATCGTTATCATTATTATCATGATCATTATTATTGTTATCATTATGATTATCGTCATCATTATCATTACCATTATCATTATCATCCTTATTATTATTATTACTATTATTTTGATTATTACTCTCATTATTTTTATTGCTTTTGTTATTATCGTCATTGTTATTTATACCATTACTGCTCCCCTCTGCCTCCACTTCCACCTCCACCATCCACTCTTGCCTTCCGGTTCTTCCCTTCTCCCTCCACCTTTCCATCCCTTTCCTCTTCTTTCACTCTCCACTTCCATCTCCCACCTCTCCTTTCACTTCCACCTCCCTTTCCACCTTTCCTTCATCCTATTCCACTTTTATCCCGGGTTCTATCTCTACCTCCACTTCTATCTTCCACTTCTACTTCCACCCTCCTTTCCCTTCCACTACCACCTTCTACCACCACTTCCACCACCTCCACTCTCCACCTTACATTTTCCACCACCATCCACATTCCACCTTCCACTTCTACCATCCACCTCCCCTTCCACCACCACCTCCGCCTTCTACCATCCACTTTCCACCACCACTATCCACTTCCCCTTCCACCTCCCACCTCTCACCATCCACCATCCACCACTCCCATTCCACTTTCCACCATCCACCTTCCCTTCCACCACCACCATCCACCTCTCACCATCCACTTTCCACCTCCCATTCCACCATCCACCATCCACCTTCCACCATCCACCTCTCACCATCCACCACTCCCACTTTCCCACCATCCACTTCCTCGCCATAATCCTCCTCCACCCACGCGGCTCGAGTGTTCAAAGAATAATTCAAAAACCTGTTCCTCTCTCGACAG